CCATATAGCATCAAGAGGATTAGCGAATATGTGGCCTTTTTATTCTTTCTGCCTATTATAAGAAAAGAAAGAAAATTCAGACAATATGACCCCACAGGAAGAGAACAAACAAATTCACTTACTGTTGAATAATAAAGGGGTTAAGAAACAGTTTTCTGTCCAACATTCGCTGGGGATCAGCCTCCAAGTTTCTGAGTTTACAGAGGAAACCAATTCCAGTCAATGTGCAAAAACCACACTTTGCATTCTCTTCAAAAAACTTTGTTAATTTTCATTTTAAATATGCTTTTTAAAATTATATTGTATTGCAAGCTGCAGATTATAGTATCAGGCTTTGTTGGTTAGCAGGCCTTTTTATGAAACAACTTCTATAAGTAACTGGAAGCACAGCAGTCACTAAGAATAAACTGCTGGGCCATCCTTACAAGGGAAGTTCATAAACACAAAATAAAAGAACATGTGTATATTCCAAACTCCTGAACACATATTCATATTTGTGTATTTGTAAGCTGGATCTTTGGAGAAAGGGGGAAAAAATATATTTTTCCTAAATATAAACCATTTAGAAATGGTTTCTTCTTGGAAATAGCACTCCTGATATTTTAAGCCAACCAACATAAGTCACTCAAGTCTCTGACCCCTCTCCTTTCACTCCACTGCCTGAGACAGAAGGACTAATTCTCCCAGAGAAAGGGGCAGGAGTCCCTGGGAAATTATTTCAGGACTAGCTCCACAGAGGAATTAATAAATGCTGAAGCTCTGGAGATGGTAAGTTTGAGAGAATCATAAAGTTCTCTGACAGTGGGTAGTCAGAAGACTGAGAGGAAAAAGAAAACTATAAAGTTCAAAGAAAATCATAATAAGACCAAAAAAACAAAAAAAAAAAAGAAGTATGCAAGGGTAACAAAACCAATTAAGAGTGATAGCATATATTAACAAATTATCTAACTGTACCCAGATCATATCTTTCTGTCTTTAAATCATACTATAAATGTTTAACACATATTTAAAACATTTTTAATATTGGTTGGTTTTTTTACATTACTTTTTTAAAAAGATTTTTAAAGTATATTTCCATTTGTCTGCAAATTACCTACTCATTTGGCCCACAAGACCAAATCCTTCTCAAACAGAAAGCAGAGAACACACTATGAGAGAGAGTAGTTTTCATAGGACTGGTTTTGTACATTTAAACTCAAAAAGGTGACAGCCACCCTCAAAGAAGAAAAGGCCATAATCTAGAGACTCAGAGAACCCAAGAGATTAAAACTGTGCCTTTAAATTTTTATTTTTAAACCTTTTAACTTCTTAGTTTAGATAAACTGTAAGAGATAAAATTCAAATGCAATTTCGTTTGAAATTTTTTTTTTAAAAAAAGGAAAACATTTTAAAGTGTTAGAGATGGCCTCTCTATAAAATATTGGCACTCGACTATATTCTTTGGTGCAAATTTATTTTATTATAACAGAAGCTCCTCAAAACTATGACCTTTCTAAATCATAACCCTAGCAAAAAAAAAAAAAAAGACAACTTCTTAAAGTCAAGATTCTTATTCTTTATTTTAAAATGTTAAGCACTTAACACAAGATTATATTTGTTTATTCAGGGTTCAATAATGTTATACAATCGATAATCTATAAACAAAGAACCAGAATAAGCCCAAAGCCTTTTACCCTAAGACCTCCCAGCATTACAGAATGTACAAATAACCAAGCTCTTTAAAGTTTTAGCTTTATTTGCAAATTCAGAGACTAATTGAGAAACTGAAATACATTCCCTTTCCACCCCACTTAAAATAGCTTTCCTCAACTCTTGATGACATTAAGTGACATCTTACACCAGTGAAGCCAGGATGTGAGAACACTTCCATAACAGTGACAAAGTCACAATTAGTGTAGAAATGAGAAAGTGACATCTCAAAAAAGGAAGAACAGCACTCTGGTAAATGCCTATGAATCCATTTTAAAAGAAAACAGACCCCAAAAAGAACCAAATGTATGTTTAAATCAGTAAATTGAGCCATTTCAAATTGATGGCATTCAAAACTTCAAGTGTCCTTTTAGCTATGATGTCTCTCTATTCCAGTTAAGCTCCAAAATATTAAACTCTACATGTCTGAGATGATACCATTTTTCATCTACTCAGCATTCTGTCTGGCAGAGGTATTCACTTTCTAACACACCTGAGCCATATGGTAATTTTTCAAGTCAACCACGAGGTGGCCCAGCCTCCTTTTCTGGTTTCACCTTCTACCCCTTGACCTGAAGTTTGCTCACTGTCCCTGAGTACACACCTCAGCAATCCTAGTATGTAACTTCACTCACTCCACACCCCTCCACCAAATGCTCTATGTGAACACCCTACAGTCTAACGTAGCCCATTCCCTATTTTACCACCACAATGAGATTGGGAACCCAAGCATAGGTAGGCATCTTTGATAAAAAAAAAGAGACAACAGGTACCAAGTGGAGTCACTTCTGCTAAGTCCATGTCACCAAACCGAGATTCATGACTCCCTGAATTAAAGTTTTAACCTCTCCCAGGAGTGCATCTTAAACCAGTCAATCGGGAATTACCTGACCAGCACTAGCAAAGAAGCAATCTGCCTGATGGACTACTGCTGTCCCCCCAAAGAAAGGTGAACTTGTCCAAAACGATCCACTCTTTGCTGGTAACTTCTTGTTCTGACCCTTCTCCCTATAAAATCTGCCATTTGGTAAAGTTCTCTGGAGCTCCCTTCCATCTGCTAGATGGAATGTCACTCATTTCATGAGTCATTCAATAAAGTCAAAAAGACCTTTAAAATTAATTCAGTTGCATTTTGTTTTTTTAAACATTGTGTTTTACACATTGCTAAACCCCTACCCTCCCACATCCCTGTGACTCACACATCATTAAGAAAACAGTATATGCTCAAATATTTAATGGAGCCTCAGAATATAAATAGCATTGCAGAATCATCTGGTCTAGCTACCCATTAAGAATGGGCCGTGCTCTCTACAATATTTCCACCACTCGCTCTCTGCCTCCTCACCCTTCCTCCCCTTGCTCACTCACAGCCAGCTTTCACAGCTCTGACTCCCAGGAGCCTTTCCTGACACAGGACCCCAAGCCCTCGCCAGCCACTGTACAGAACAAGCTTATCTCTGTTTCTGCATGACAGCAAAATGAACTTCTGGTTTGTCCCTTCTTTTATTCATTCAACAAATACTTACCAAGTACCCACTTATTTACTATACTTCCATGGCACCTGCTTCAAACCACTACCCCTCAGCCAGACACCAGGAACATAATGACAAGCACACACGCCACCACTCCCACCACCTCTACAACCACTACCACGGTCCTCACTCTCATGGAGTTAAAAACAAGTAGAAAATATGGACATTGTTCAGAAAACCACCATGACATACACCCCAAGTCCATCAACCCATGGCCCCCTAGCCCACAATATCATCTCACCTCCCTTTGGTCAACATGGCTTCTTGCTCTCAAATGCCACCAATTTTTTACAAAACAAAAAACAAACAACAAAACACTGCCTGCATCCCTAACAAGCACAGTGTGACCCTTACTCCATCAACAGCCCAAAGCAGCTGAACTCATACCCATTTGTATCTTCATGCTTGTTTCCAGATTCACTTTATTCCAAATTCACTGCAGCTAGAGCAAGAGGAAATCCCATTTTGCAGATACAATGTTTCACAGAACCTTCATACAGACACAAATTAAAGTCAATATTAGCACCAATTTATCCTTTATTTTGGATGTATATCATTTCTTATTAAAAAGACAAAGAAAACAATTAGGTTGTTAGATGACTAAAACTAAATTGAAATTAGGACTGAGCATCCTGTCAACCTCAGAATCCAATCTGTTGCTGCATTTCTGCTGCTTACATATCATCAGCTTAAAACGCTCACATATATACTGATAAAAGTACACCTTGCAATTTCAGGACCCTCTTTAATTAAACTGATTGAAAAGCTTGAAAGACAAGTAAGAAATTTCTTATTCAAAGCTGTATCACTAACAATGAACCAGCTCTCATTCCTCATGAAAACTACACATGAGATGAGATGCACTCAGATTTTAGAATGGGAGGAAAAAACCCACATCACCATATTGCCACATGTATTCCCTTGTTATCACACAACTAGAATCACCTAAAATGTTCCTGGCACGTAGATGAGTGTGGTGGGCAAGGGTAATCACACAGTAGGGAATATGACATGTTTGCCTGCAGAGGACCAGGTAGGGTCCCAGCCATGCCTCAGTAATGACAAACAGAAGATAAACCTTTGAACAGGAGGCCAGAGAAGCCCACTCTATTCTAAGGTTTGCATAGGAAAAGATCTAATCTGACATGTTGAAGAATCTATAGTTTCCAACATTTAACATTACAGCATGACATATCTGTACATTCCTAACAGTTCAGAAATACACTTGAGAACTTAAACAACCCAAACACCTCAATTTACACGATGACGCAAAATGAACAGCACCTCTACCTTTACACGCTTTTACAAAATATTGTTGTATTTTGTTTTTTATTTAAGTATTATACTGTACTTTCTAAAGAAGTGTGCATAATGTTTTTATTCTCTAGAAAGTTTTGTGACTGGCTATTCCAAAAAAGACAAATGCAATCCTATTTTGCACAGATTTTTTAAAAAACAATTTTAAATGTCAGGTTTTCCTCCTATTAAACCTACTTTACTTCATGGCACCAGAACTGAAAAAAAAAATTGTGTACCAAAATATATTTTCATTTAAAATGCACGTTAAAATAAGTATCCAGGTGAAGGGGGGAGCCTAGTAAACATAATGTTCTTCATGTAATTGTAGATTAATGATACTAAAATAAAAAATAAAATAAAAAATAAATTAAAAAAAGGAAGATTAAGCAATAATGTAAGCTCTTTCAAATGTGGATGGTGATTATAAGAATTTCTGTTATCTTGTTTGTATTTTTTCTGTACACTTGAAATATTTTATACTCAAAAATTAAAAATAATTTTTAAAACATGAAAAAAAAAAGTATCCAACTCACAGTGCTCAGGTTTACATAACATTCTGAATAAGGTGAAACAAAAGGGTTCTCAACAACACATCTATCTTAATTATTTATTTGTTATTTTTCACACATTTCTTCAAATAGAAATACCAGGTACTTGTAAACATAGCAATTCTTACACTTTTTTGCAATTAGAGTTTCACTTAACCCAAATCAAGCTCATTTTACATTTGACCACATTCCTTGTTAAAAACAAAGAATAGGAAACACACATACAAAGACTAGAACTCCTCTAAAGGACTACTAACTCCTCTAAAAAGGGCAACATTACATTTATATTAGAAACATTCATGAACTTAATTGGAAAAATATTCCAGGAACAGAAATTTAAGATCATCATATATTCTTAAGAACTTCATTTTTCCTGATTTATACATTTTGCATAAATTGTACATAAATATCAATTTTGGACTTGCAAACCAAAGTTGTTTTAAATTAAAATCCAAGTCTCCAGATACTATGAATTAACATATAAAGGGATATCAAATAAGAAGATTACATGTTTCAATGGAAATTATGTTTCCTTTTCAAAATTTCTGAAAATAATTCTACAGTATTTATAACTTTCGCCTAAAAAACTAGCCATTTTGATTATTACGAAAAAGAGGGTTATTTAATAGTTGTTACAAGAGAAGAATTTTTTTCCCCTCTAATGTGGTAAAGGGAAAAAGTCACCTCAGAAATACAAATGAGTTCATATCTGTAAGCAAGACATCATTTACAATTAGCCCCATCAGGCTACATCAAAACACTGAATAAATTACGGTTCAATGAATTTACTGGATGAATTTCAGTCACTTATTTTTACTTTCTTTTAAAAAACAAGAAGCTTTTAGGAAAACAAGATTATTTTGCCAGGACAAAATACACGACAGGACAGTGTGCCTGGGTGGTGTGGGCTTAGGGTCTGGTTTTGCTGTCAAGTGCACTGGGCATATTCCATCCATATTAATATTAATATTATTACATAATATTAATATAATCCTCCTGAAATGATCACTGGTGAAGAGTGGACAGTGAGCTTTTTCAGAAGGAATTTCCATTTATTTCTTTTTTCCCCTGACAAATGGACTGTAGTGCTTTCCTTCTTCTGGCCCTTCAGCCACGTGTGAGCAGTTTGCAGGTCACCTGTGAAGCATCAGTGTTTCTGACCCCTGAAGGCAGAGTAAGGAAAGTGACGAAATAGCAAAAATCTCCCCCAAAAGTACTCTACAAAGACACACAAAAGCATATGGGAATAAGAGCTGGGCTTCAACAGTGCAAAAGTGAAAATTGATACTTTGAGGCAGCTGCATTGTTAGCACACGCAGAGAAGCCACGCACCACCACCGAAGGCTGCTCCCACCCATGAAGGAACCGCATCCCCCCACTGCCTCACAACAGCTATTTACAGCAGTCTGCTTTCTCCAGACACTCGGTTATTTATGCACATTAGACATGCATTATTTAACAGTGCTACTAAACCAAAATGGGGACTTTCCATGTTTTTTTACTGGGTGAGCAAACTCTTTTTATAATAAATAATTATGTTCAGTTTTAAATAATGTAAATCTTCACTTAAACTGAAAATAAAGCATTTGGATTTAAAACCTCTGGAACAAGAGTGTTTTTACCATCTTAACAGAATCAGTAGTTAAAAGGAAAAGGAACAGACTGCTTTCCAAGGTTAACCAAGAAGAGCTAGAGAAAACTTTTAATTAGTATAAGTAATAATCCAACCCATTCTTTCATTTGGAATATAGTTGATATACAATATTATACTGGCTTCACATGTACAACATAGGACTCAATATTATATATTTTATTTATATATATATAATGTATTTCTTATCATATATACATATACATACATGTGTGTATATAATCACTAAATGCTCACCACAGTAAGTATATAATTCAATCCATTCTTCAAATTGATTCTCTGCCTCCTCCAGACATGCCTGTTGGACCATCTTGGCCCAAATTCATTGGTCCTTCTCACACCAAGTAACACACATGCCATCTGGCCCACAGAACCCACACAATCACGTGCCTGCTGCTATTATCTGCACATTATTTTCTGCAAAAGTTCCATTTCAGCTCCCAAGGAGAAGATATAGTCCTTCAGTTAAAAAATTGTGTTTCATGACTGTTTGTAGCTCCCACAGAAAAGTCTGTGCCCTTCTTGTTTAAGGCAAAAAATTAAATGGCTCTTTCTGCTGGAAAAGTAGCACTTGGAGTATTAGCTGCAGCTTTTCCAAAAAAGTGTGATAATTTTGCTCTTTGCCCCACAACTCTGAGGAAAAAACTTTCTGAAACGACACTAGGTACAAACAATAAGGAAAGGGTTTGTGCTGAGGAAGGGCAGAATCTTCTCAGATGGGTTGATTGCTCCTCAGAGCCGCAAAATGGGAATGAACAGTGCCAGTTTGTAAACCCAAAGCAGAAACAGAGCAGGCCATGTCACTCAAGGGTCAGGTGAGATGTCACAGGTGCACCTGGAGGCCAATGTGACCAGCGAGACACACTCATGATGATGGCCGTATGCCCAGAGGGGCTCCGAAAGGCAGGCCGGCCCAGAGTGGCCTGAGACGTGGACAGGTCTTCATCACACTTGCTTGCTGGGACCCCCTGCAGCTAGGAGGACAGGGGTCAAGGCAGGAGGATGACACCGCCCCATGCAGACCCCTCTGTGAAGCAGGTGCCCGAAGAGACCCCCATGGCAGCAGCTGCTCCCTGCGCTCTGATGTCGCACCCGGCGAGGGCCACACTGCGGTGAGGCAACGCTCCAGCCAAGCTGTGAGGAGGCCTACTAACCAACATTACGTCAAACACGACCTGGGCAGACCCAGGGCACCCTTCTGGGGATGTCAGCTCCTCAGCGCTCAGGCAGGGATGTGGACCTCTTGCCTGCAACCACATACCAACCACTCTAAGCCCCTGGTTGGAACAGCCATGAAGGGTGACTGCTCTTGCTCAGCCATCCACTCCACCGAGGCCCTACTGTGTGCTTCTAAATCATATGACAGCCAGTCTTGACAGCCAGTCTAATACCCAAGCTGAACATCATGTATCTGGAGAAATCTAAGCTTAGTTATTTCCCATTAATGAGATGCAAAAGTGGGAGGCTCAATTTCAATATTTTAGAACAATGGAGTTGAAAAGATTCAAAATAAGATTAAAAGTCAACTTTACCAGAACAGCATCTTAATTTGGGGGGTATGTTCTTAAGACTAAATCAGGACAGATGGCCAAGATCTGCCTATTCAGTAGCATCTTCTACAATCTGTTCAAACTGCCCAGCAGCAGGACAGATTGCTCCTAGTTTGTTGCCTAAGTTTATGCTGAGGGGTTGTAAATGGGCCACTTCTTTCTCCGCCAAAAAAAAGGGAAGGAAAAGGATATGTAGACACTGGAATTATAGTTAGCACAGTGAGGTGCTTACATGGACAGCCAGAAGGAGCTGGGACCAAGAGAAGGGCAGATTCACACCTCCACTGAATACTCATTCTCTGACACAATGGTACGTGCACTGGTAACCGTTTTGAAATAGCTCTCTCTTCATGCATGCTTCCTTTCTCTCTCCTCTCTGTGTAGGGAAGTGCCCTCTCTGTCTGTCTCTCTCTTCTCCCTCCCATTCTCATGCTCTCACTGGAAAAATAAAACTTGTGTTTTTAATCTCTCTTTCTAAGGAGGACAGAGGAAGGAAACAGAAACAAAGAGCACAAACAGTGTAAATGGACATTATTCTGTGATTAACTCATGACTACATTTTGGCAGTACATAGCTGATGAAACAACTCATGGAGCATGCATTATATATGTTATAACTAAAATGTAAAATTAAGGAGATTCTGACTGGTTCAAGGACCCTAACTCACATTTGGATACAAACATCTGAAAATTACCCAAGGAAATGACAAATACATGAGAAGAACATGGTTATGACCCACCATGTCTACAATATTGTGTCTACTGTAATTTCAGGGCAGCCTCTCACAAACAATCTCATCCAAAGATATGAATGACTGAAAGTGCATATCCAAAAGGAGACAACTTTCGTGTGATCAACATTGTAATTAAGGCCACTTATGAATGCTAAGCCAACGTGTGCAAGACTTACTAGGCTCTGAGACAGACATGTTGCCTTCCCCCAGCCATATTTTGTAACACTCCACTTTTGAAGCCAAGCATCCTATTTATATTATAGTGATCTGAGATACCCATCGATTATTATGCATTGAATTGCATCCCCCAAAAAAGATTATGTTCAAGCCCTAACCCCTGGTAGCTCAGAACATGATGTTATTTGGACATAGGATCTTTACAGAGGTAACTGGGTTAAAAATAGGTCATGAGGATGGGGTCTAAATCTCCTACTGTCTGGTGCCCTTACTAAAGGAAAATCTGAACACAGAAACAGACTGACACAGAAGGCAGGCAATGGGAGACATGGAGAGAGAAGGCCATGTGAAAGTGGAGGATGCAGTGACGTGCCCAAAAGCCAAGCACACCTGCGGCTCCCAGGAGCTGGGAAGAGGCAGGAACAATCCCTCTCCAGAACTGTTCAGAGGGAACACGGCCCTGCCCAAACCTTGATGTCAGATTTCTATCCACCAGAACTGCACAACAATAGATTTCTGTTGTTTTAAGCCATCCAACTCTTGATGCTTGGTGGCAGCATCCCAACTAAAGTAGCAGACGGTCCATGAACACTTCAACTGACACACATTTTGAGATGCCATGTGGGAAATAAGATAATTGACTTCAGGAGAAAATGAGAGGCACAAGTGGACATTAGGCTCTTGACACGTCTGAAGCTGTTTGCATGACCCAGTCAGTTCTGTCCCCATGGAGACACTGCCTTCCACACTGAAGCCCAGACTGCGGTGCAGGGATTCACAAGGTCTGTCCCCAGCTATGCGGCTCTCCTGGGACTCGCACACCCAATCCCGCACTACTTCTCCGTGAACACAGGATGTTCAACCACGCTATTCAGGAGTATTTTCCAAAGTTCAGCAACTCATCCCCTAACCCCTCTCCTCCCTGCAGAGAGGCAGTGCAGGAAGCACGCAAAACACCTACACTGAACTATAGTAGGGGGGTACGGTGCCCCATATGGACCAAACTCAACTCATACCCTGAGCATCTTTACTCCAGGGTGTACAAGCAGCCCAAAAAGCAGGGCCCAGTAGCTTTCTTTCTATATTCAGAAAAACCTGAGTGGGAAACTTTTTTTTTTTTTACATAGTATATCTAATTTATAATTTTTTTCTTGAGGGCATCACTCATATTTATTGATCAAATGGTTGTTAACAACAATAAAAATCTCTATAGGGGAGTCAATGCTCAATGCACAATCATTAATCCACCCCCAACCTAATTCTCGTTGGTCTCCAATCTTCTGAAGCATAACGAACAAGTTCTTACATGAACAAATTCTTACATAGTGAACAAGTTCTTACATGGTGAACAGCACAAGGACAGTCATCACTCATTATGAACTATAGACAATCAGGTCAAATATGAATATTCGTTTGATTTTTATACTTGATTTATATGTGAATCCCACATTTCTCCCTTTATTATTATTGTTATTACTTTTTTAATAAAATGCTGAAGTGGTAGGTAGATGCAAGATAAAGGTAGAAAACATAGTTAAGTGTTGTAAGAGAGCAAATGTACATGATCAGGAGTGTGCCTGTAGAATATGTGTTAATACAAGCTAGACAAAGGCAATAAAACATCCACAGATGCAGAAGATTTCTCTCAAAACAGGGGGGTGAGGTTCTAAGCCTCACCTCTGTTGATCCCCAATTTCTCACCTGATGGCCCCCCTGCGACTGTGCCTGTCTTAGGTTGTTCCTCCCTTGAGGAATCTTACCTGTCTCTGACTAACCAGTCATCTTCCGAGGCCATACAGGGAGATGTGAAGTTGGTAAGTGATAGAGAAGCTATATTGTTTGAAAAGGTTAGCTTTTACTTCTTTGCAGATTTATGCCCTGTGGCTTCAATGCCCATCATTTGTCTTGAGGTATCTTTACCACTTGGAGGAATTATGATACTCAGTAAATTCAATATGAGGCACGAATTCTATTTAAGGGTTGTAATTAGGAAGGAAGAAGAAAAGCTATAGAGGTAGCAGATGGAAGAAAACATGGGAGGATTGATTATTT